AATTGACATTTTCACAATGTTCAATCTTCCTGTCCATGAGCATGGTATGTTCTTCCATTTATGTAGATCTCTTATGGTTTCTTGAAGTAGTTTTTTGTAGTTTTCTTTGTATAGGTCTTTTGTATCCCTGGTAAGATATATTCCCAGGTATTTTATATTTTTGGTAGCTATCGTAAATGGTATTGATTTCCTTATTTTTTTTTCAGCAATCTCTTTGCTGGTGTAGAGGAATCCAGCTGATTTTTGGATGTTGATCTTACGTCCTGCCTTGATGCTAAATCTCTCAGTTAGTTCCAGTAGATTTTGACTGAGTCTCTCTAGGTATCGGATCATATTATCAGCAAATAGGGATAGTTTGGCTTCTTCCTTACCAATTTGGATGCCTTGATTTCCCTTTCTTGCCTTATTGCCCTGGCTAGGACTTCCAGTACAATGTTAAATAGAAGTGTGATAGAGGGCATCCTTGTCTGGTTCCTGTTCTCAAGGGGAATGGTTTCATTGAGTTTTGCTGGGTACATAATTCTTGGTTGGAAATTTTTCTCTTTCAGTTTTTTATATATACCATCCCATTGTCTTCTTGCCTCCATGGTTTGTGTCGAGAAATCCAAGCTTAGTCTTATTGGTTGCCCCTTGTAGGTAACTTTCTCTTTTTCCTGTGCTGCTCTCATGATTCTTTCTTTGTCTTTGGTTTTGGTAAGTTAAATAATGATGTGTCTTGCTGATTTTCTTTTGATGGTCTTTGCTATTTGGGGTTCATTGGAGTTCCTGAATGGATATATTCTCATCTTTCATCATACCAGGAAAATTCTCTTCCAACAAAAACTTCAACAGTTTTCTCTGTGGTTTCATTTGTCTCTTCCTGTTCTGGAATTCTGATTACACGTAGGTTATTCCTTTTGATGGTATCCCACATGAACCTTAGGATTTCTTCATTTTGTTTTGATCTTTATTCTGATTGATCCCTTTCCAAAGAAGTGTTCAGGTATTTGCCTTCAATCTCCCTAATTCTGTCTTTCATTGATTCAGTTCTACTCCTTTGCCATTCAATGTCTTATCTATATTTGAAAATTTAGAATTGATCTTCTGGATTTCTGTATGTAGATTTTGTATCATTTCTAATTTTTCCTTTATTTTGTCATTTTGTTCTTATATTGTCTTTCAGAATTGTTCTAGGGTTTTCTCTGTGTTTTCCTTGATCTGTCTCTCAATTAGTTGAAGATACCTAAATGTTATTCTTTTGAATTCCTTATCAGGGAGTTCCAATGCTGTACCTTCCTCAAGGATGTGTTTTGTCTCTGTATCCTGGTCCCTTGTTTCTCCTGCTTTATCTTGCTTGTTTGTGTGGACTGTGATGCTCTGTTGTTTCCGAGGCATTTTGACGTTTTTGTGTTTATATTGGTGATGGTATGTTGGAGTTACTTGCCCACTATTTTCGTTTTCTTTGTTTTGTTTGTATGTTATCTACACAAGCAGGGTTCTGTGCTCCTCTATTCATTAGTTGAAGGCCCTTATACACTAACCACCTGTCTCCTTTCCTGTTGTCCGCCTTTCATATGTCCCTGCCGACGTTGGCCAACAGAACCTATTCTTAGGTCCCTGAAATCCAAATGAGAATGCTATCACTTTAAAATCCAAAATGGTTGCTACTTGTAAAGATTCAAAATGGCTGTGCCCTCAGTCACTTTAAATATCCAAAATGGCCACCACTTGTAAACATTCCAAATGGCTACGCCCTCGGTCACTTTAAATATCCAAAATGGCTTCCACATGTAAACAGTCAAAATGGCTGTGCCCTCTGGACAGTGGAAAGTCAACAGTTCAGGTTGTCTCCCTCCTTGCTGTTTCCCTTCCTAGTCTTAGGCCACCAGTGCAGTCATCCCTGCAGCCCTTGGTGACCAGTGTTGATCTTTAGGTCAATTCTCAGGTCCCAACACCACTTGGAAATATTCAGGCTGTTGGTCCTGTCAGAGTAGCTGACAGTCCGCAGGTCCAGCAGTCTCTGTACTCACTGTTTTTGTTCAGGTTTTTCCACTAGTTGGTGCCTAATCTACCTCTGCATAGTTCCTTTCAAAGCTCAGGGCTCCAGGATTATCTTCTGTATCTCTGTCAATTGGTTTCTTTTTTCTTTGTTGAAGAGGGTCTGTGTCTTTTGTCTGCCTGTTCCTCCATCTTACTGGAAGTCTCAAAACTGTGTGTCTTGTGGAGTTTTCCACAGTCAAGATTTTACTGACTGCATCCCCATGGTGTCCTTTATCATGTATTTCCGTCCCAGTGTTTATTTTACATTGTTGATTGACAGAGAAACTCAAGCAGATTAAAGGTAGATATTTTGGCAAGAGTACTTCATAGATGACAGGGAAGACTTTATTAGAGACCACAGTTCCTCTCTTTTTATAACAGTCATTTATGATCCTTGCATTGGTCCATTGATTTGTTGTTGTTAGGTGCAGTTCAGTTGGTTCTGACTCTAAGTGACCCTGTGTACAGGAGAATGAAACATTGCCCGGTCCTGTGCTATCCTCACAATCATTGTTATGTTTGATCCCATTGTTGCAGCCACTGTGTCAATCCATCTTGTCGAGAGTCTCTTTTTCTCTGAGACTCAACTTTACCAACCATGATGTCCTCCAGGGACTAGACTCTCCTCATAACATGTCCAAAGTATGTGAGACAGATTGAAAATAACATGGTTTGAGTCAGGTGTACTTTAGTCCTCAAAGTGACGTCTTTGCTTCTTAACACTGTAAAGAGATTTCCCCAATGCAAGATGTTGTTTAATTTCTTGACTGCTGCTTCTATGGATGTTGATTGTGGGTTGCAATAAAATGAAATCCTTGACAACATCAGTATATTCTTTGTTTATCATGTTGGTTATTGGTCCAATGTGAGGATTTTTGTTTTATGTTGAGATGTAATCCATACTGAAGGCTGTGGTCTTTGATCTTCATCAGTAAGTGCTTCAAGTCTTCTTCAACAGCAGGTTGTTAATGAGTCTTCCCCCAGTCTTGCTTCCCAGATTATTTGCTCAACACGCAGATTGAGTAAGTGTAGTGAAAGGTTATAATCCTTATGTACACCTTTAGTGATTTTAAACTACACATTATCCTCTTGTTCTGTTCGAACAAGGACTGACTCTTGGTCTGTTTACACATTCTGCATGACCACAATTAGTGTTCTGGAATCAGTTCCCATTCTTCACAATGTTATCCATAATTTGTTAGGATCCACATAGTTCAATGTCTTTGCATAGTCAATAAAACACAGGTAAATATTAATTCATTAAGGATTGCTGATTATCTTTGAATAGTCAATAAACACTGAACCCAAAGTAGGGGCAGGTAAAGAGATTTTCACTGAGAACCAGTTACCTAGAACCTGGTCTCAATTCTCTAGAAGTGATTGCATCTGTGACCCTGTCTTGTGATTTTTAGATAACATAGAATGTCCACAGCTGGTTTCACTAAATGTTGGTGTGCTACAAAGTAGATGGATCAGTGTTGAAATGATACATATTTTTTCTGTTCTTGTCTTCAGGCTCTTAACATATGTTCATTTTCTCTAAAGAATACACACAATCTTCTTTTGCTTCCTACCCTTGATTCTTACTGACAGAAGAGGAAGAATGTCTTCTCTTCTCTTTCTGACCCTGTGTTTAAGTTGCTGTGCTTTGATCCATAGCCATACTCTGAGGTGTGACACTTCACCTTGTTCTTTTAAATAGGGGCTGCCCACCCCAGCCACTCAGCTTGAGAACTAGTGGGTGTCAGTACTAAATATTTAGTGTAATACATTTAGTATTCCTAACTTGTTGAAATCTTAGGTCTTCATTTAGTTAAAAACATTCTTTTAAAAAGTAACTACTTTGCCACTCAAACAAACAATACTACCACCAACAACAAAAAATTCCTGAGTGATATATGATGTTTTAATGTGTATTCAGAAAGCATGGCTTTATGTTAGCCATTTCAAGCCTTTAAACAAAGAAAAATACTACCCTTTGCTCTTCTCTTCTAGGAAATTCACACAAACGACAAAGAAGTAACGGAAAAGGAAGTAACTCTTCACTTGTTGCCAGGTAACAGTCATGTTAGCATCAAACCTCATGTGCATCTCAAAGCCAATGATAAATTACCTCATCCCTAGCATTGCTATATATAAACTCTTTGTTTTCATCCAGAACATATATAACAGTAATGAGTATGGCACAGATACCAAGGCCTTTAGTTCTATAACTACACCTGGGTATTACAACATCTGCAAATAATTTTTGTTTTCATCCTGCTCCAAACTGCTCAAAATAAACCTGACCATTACCTCTTTCACAAGCAAGGAGCTCTGGTGATGTAGTAGTTAAAGCATTGGCTAGTTGGAACTCAAGAGCAGCTCTGCGGGAGAAAGATGAGGCAGTCTGTTTCCAGAAAAATTTACAGCCTTGGAAACCCTGTGTGGAGATTCTACCCTGTCCTGGTTGTTATGAGTCGGAATTGATTTAATGGCAGTGGGTGGGGTGAGAGGGTTCACAAGCAAATCAGGACTTTTCCAGGTTGCCTTATTTGGCCCCACTCAGGTCTCAAATCAGAAAAAGCCCAGTCCTCCACAAAGCCCTGGGAGTTCTGGTAGCGTAGTGCCTAAGGCACTTGACTGCTAACCAGAAGGCTGGCAGTTCAAACCCACCAGCCAATCCTCGGAAGGAAGGTTGGGCAGTCTACTTCCGTAGTGATACTGCCTCGGAAACCCAAGGAGGGGTGGCTATGAGTCAGGTCCGACTCGATGGCACATAACAGCAACAACCACAAAGCCCTATGCCCCTGCTTTATTCTTACTGCACATGTCTGTAGCTGCCCTTGAATTAAGCAGTTGCCTGAGTATCCCAGGGCGAGCCTTGATGGGTGGCCTCACCTGTCCATCTCTGAGCACAAGTGCAGAGAATACTGATGTTACCCTGAGGCTAACAGCACTTTTCTCTGAGGTCATTATGAAGGAAGGCGCATTGATTGGTTACTTCTGAGATGGAGGAAAGTGACTCTGTAGCTTAAGTTAAATTTTAATCATTTCAGAATTGAAGAGCTGCAGCTGCTCCTCTATATAAGGGATCCTCTGTGGGCTGTGTATCTGTTCTTCCCCCATCATCTTTTTCCCAATCCAAAATACCACTTTTTGTTTTTCCATATATCTTTTTTAGGTACATTTCTCCAAAGCATTAGGGTTCTCATTCTGATACTTCTTATTTCATTCCAGTTTAATATGAGAATAAGAATATGTACAGATTTCTAACTGATTTATCTTCTTTGGTAAAACAGATGGGAATCTTGTAATTTTTTAAAAAACATTTTTAAATTTCAAAGGCTTTTTTCTATGATATATGGTATATAATGGCCTAAACCTTCATCCATATATCCTGTTGTTTTGCCTTTTGTTGGGGTTATGGATTCTGAAATTAACTTTTTTATTTAGCTTAATATTAATTCAGTCAGTCTGCCATCACATGGGTTACCTGATGGCCTCTTCTAAGTGTGCAGCTCTGAGCACACAGTTCACATCTTCGAACCTCAGTTTCCTAGACTAAGCTGTTTTCCAGTTCTTAAATCCCATGGTTCTACACTTTACGCACAACTTGATAAAAATCCACCAGCATGCCAAGCCTGCAGAGACTCACCAGGGAATGTTACTGTAACTACTGCATGCTGATTTCTAGTATCTGGTGTATTTTGACTGTGTGTGTGTGTGTGTGTGTGTGTGTGTATATATACATTGACCTTTTTTATGCGAAAAATTGTGGGTTGTGTCCCTTGAAATGGGAGACCAGAAGAGGCTTAGTGAACATTTTCAGGAGCCGGATGTGGGAGACTGGTTTATTGCCAGGACTGTGGAGAGTGACACACATTCAAAGCCGCACATTTAGCTGCCATCTTGGAGTGGGGGGAGCAACACTCGAGATTTGGTTGCTATGCAACATGCATGCTGCCCTTGTTTTCTAAGTGGGAGATAAAGTTTCTAGCAGAGTGTTGACCCATAATTTTTATCATACCAGTTATCACATTTTACAAATTCAGGTCTGTTCAGTGTTGCTTCGTTGGCCATGAGTGAGCTGGGAAGAACCAGTTTGAAGTCTTGCTTTGAACATTGGAAGCCTTGCTCACATGGATCTAGCTGGGGCATTTTTTTCTGGGCCTATTGTAAACTCTCATGAGGCCCTGACTTCATTGTTTTCTTGCATCTCTGTGGCCTCTCTAGAGGCTTGGTGACTTAGCCATCTGCTGGTATTTCCTTAGAGTTTCAAGCAGAAGTCATTAACCCTCAAAAGATGGAAAACAAATTCCAAAGCATGTCCCTTGATAGTCTTAGTATCTGAAACGCTTCTCTGTTTTCATATTGAAAGTTAGACTAAATCAATTTTGAGCCAAAAGTAAATGTAAAGGCATTGAAGGGAGCTCCCCAGAGAGGACTCTGAGGGGGAAGGGGAGATGGCTGTCGGTTGGAGTAGAAATAGCTTTTTTTTCTCTGCATAGTTCTTACACTTGCTTTTCATTTCACCCCCATCCTTCCCTTTTCCCCACTCTTACTCAGACATCCAGTGCTCGTCAGCTTCTCCGCCTGCGTCCAGGGAGCAGAGAGCACTGACTGTCCCCAGCCCTACCCTTTTTGACTGAAAACAAGCACTCTTGGCCGCCAGGAAAGGCAGCTTCTCCTGTGGGCTGGGTGCCTGCAGATAGAGCAGGAAAGGTGACACATTCACAGGAAATAACCTCAACTAAGAAAGACAGGAAACCACTTTTTCCCCCACAAACCTCTGACATCCTTTTTCCTCCCATCTTTGTGTCTGGAGCCAAAATGAGGGTGGCCATACTACGGTACCTCTTGTGTGTGAGATGAAGCTGCTTGAAAACCCTGTAGCCAAAGAGACAGCCTGTTTTATCAAGTTCAGTGTTAGAAATGGCGCTCTCATGGAACATGGGCCTGGAATCAGTGTTACAGAGCACACAGTGGCAAGCCTTTCCGTTTTTGCTCACTTGGGGTATTGCTTCTGTGGAACTTCTGCTTGGGTCAGGGTAATAGAAGCACTGAGTTCTGTGCCTGAAAGTTTAGTGGAGGTAATCACAGTGAAAAGATAGAGGATCTGAGCCACTTGGATTTTGCTTATTGGTGGCTTCCACTCTGTTTTATCTTTCTCTCCCAAGTTTTGCAGCTCCTGCCATGCTGGAAGGTGTAAAGATCTAAAGTGCTGCATTATGTTGTGTGTGTGTCTTTATGTATATAGTGCCAGAAAGCTTTCGATGTTTTCCTACTGCATGCTCCCGGAAGACTCTGAGGAGGACTTGTTTTGTTTTTGATCAGGTGAGCAACTGCTTTGTGAAGCCAGCACAGTTCTCAAGTACGTCCAGGAAGATTCATGTCAGTGTGGGATCTATGGGAAACTGGTCTGCACGGACTTCAAGATTGCTTTCTTGGGTGATGATGAATCAGCATTGGATAATGATGTATGTATGAGCTGCTGGACTGAGTTTGGGCAAAACAGTGCAATTGTGGCTCCATTATCTTTTTCCTCACACATGAATTACTCCCAACATATGGAACACAAAGGAACAAAAGTCCTATTTGCCCCTGGTCCTGCTCCCTATCCTTTAGAATGTCCTTTCAGTAGCAGGACTGTTCTAAAATTTCCTGCCTATGCTTTGTGTCATGGCACCATGCATTTGCTTCAGAGGCTGGCACTGTCAACTTTTTCTTGTTTTCTTCTGTATTCAGTATAGTATATATCACTCATTGGGAAAACACCTTCCCAAATGTACTACTTCCCCATGCTTTCTCTATACTAAGCTCTTCCTCAAATTCAGGAGCTGAGTTCAGTAATGAAATTGATGCTGAATGCAACACTTGAATTTGGGTTTACTTTATGTTAACCCAGTCTGAACCTAGTAGCAGTGCCTTGTCAGACTCAATCCTGTTACAAACAGTAAGTAATCAAGTAAGGCACTGAGTAAGGAGGGTACTGCCCACCCTACTCAAAAGAGCATTGTACACCAGTGGAAACCCAGCCAAGGTACTTCCTGCCTTCAGGGTGTCAGCCATCCCCAATAACGCATGCTTCTTAAACAATGGCACCTCAGAGTGTACTGCGTCAGGTTTTCTGGGCCACATAACTATAGAGGCTCGATTCCTAGTCTTGTACAAAGATAGGCTTTGCCAGATGCTTGAATCAACTAGTGTTTTCTCTCTGAAGCTGGCTTCATGTGGCTCCATCAGTCACCTGTCTGCATTTGTGTGGGAAACTGTTAACCTGTATCTCACTTGTTGACACTTCTCCCACTGATCTTGGTGGACTGCCAGTGTGTGGACTGGTGGCGGATGGGAGGTTTGCCTAGGAGCACCTGGAGATGCTGTATTCTACCTGGGTTAAAAAATGAGCACTCATGAACTTGTCTCGTACAGTTCATCATCCCTCTCTTCAGGACAGACTGCATTTCCCCAGTTCTTCTTAATGTACAAGTGGAGAATTAAGGGCTCTGCCTGTGAATCTCTAACAGTGCATGGAAAAGAGTTACAGTTGTTTTCTTTTTGAATCTTTCAGGAAACTCAATTTAAGAATAAGGTTATAGGAGAGAATGACATCACACTCCACTGTGTTGATCAGATATATGGCGGTAAGTACCTTCTCTTTCCTGGGATGTTGTCCTCATTGGAAAGTATGATGGATGATGATGATGATCCTTTTATGGTCCATTATTTAAAAACCAGTTGCTGTCTGGTTGATTCAGACTCATGGTGACCCCGTGGTGTTAGACTCGAACTGTCCCCCATAGGCTTTTCATTGGCTCAGTTTTCAGAAGCATATTCCTAGGCCTTGAACCTCCAACCTTTCAGTTAGAAGCCAAGTGCGTTAACTGTTTGTAGCACCCAAGGACTCCATGGTTCTTTATAGTTCACTAAAAAAAAAAATTTTTTTTTGTATACATTATCTTGTTTAAATCCATTTTATAGAAGTAAAAAATTAAGAAATGACTTGTTTGAGTCACTTAGGTTCAGGAGCTTGGACTTGAACTTGGAACTTGTTCTTTGAAATACTTCAAAATGCCATTATGCATTAGATGCTGACTGTAGTTCTGTTGTTGGTGTTAGCTATGTAAGTTTTACTATAAAGGCTAATCTGTTAAAGGCCTGTTACATTGCATTAGCGTATCTTTTCTGCTGACTAAATAAGCTGCTCCTGCCAAGCCGCCACTTCTCTATTTTTGTGTCTAGGGCTTTTCCAGAAATTGTTCAGTAGCCATTTATGATGTCCCAACACTAACAGGTGCTGAGTGTTTCCAAACGCTGGGAAAAGAGGAAGTTTTCAGGAGGGGACCTAGCCATAAGCTCAGGAGTTGACTGGCCAAAGAAAGCATGTCCCTGGTGATCTCTCTTCTGTCTCTCATAATCACCGTTTCACATCATTGGATTAATTTCTGCCAGCAACAGCCAGTCTTACCTCCAAAAGCACAAAGAACTCCTAACTTGCTGTCAGAGAACCGACCCCTTCTGGGTGCAGCTGGGCTCATGCTAATGGTTGTTTGGAGGTAGACAGAACCTGACCTCTCATTTTGAGAGGTATCCTTAGAAGTTAGTAGTTAACTTTGTTTTTTTAGCATTGACTTGTTATATCATAACATAATTTCCCTTCCTGCTTTAATCATCCATCTGTAGTGTTTGATGAGAAGAAAAAAACTCTCTTTGGACAGCTGAAGAAATATCCTGAGAAACTCATTATCCACTGCAAAGACCTCCGAGTATTCCACTTTTGTCTGAGGTACACAAAGGAAGAGGAAGTCAAAAGGGTAACTAGTTGAATGTGTTTTTAGGTTTTATTTTCCATCAGATTTTCCCCACTAATTCTATTTTCTTATTTAACATGAAGGTTAAGGGCGCTTTTACCTCTTTATGATTAAAGTTGGTTATTATCCAACTTTAATCCATGATTTAATCATGAGAGGGAATCTGGTAAGTGATGGCTGTGTATTAGCTTAGCACATGCTGTCTTTAATTCTTTGATTCATAGTGTTTTTATTCCCAGAGCCCCTAAAGGGTGGGAGATGGTAAATCAGAGTCAGTTGTAGAAAGAGAAGGATGGAATAGCTACAAGTAACTCATCCCCTACCTCTCGCAGCCTTCCCAGAAGGTAGTAGCAGTGACCCATAAGTCCTGTGAGTAAATGAATTTACCTCTAGGAGTGGTGGTTGGTGTGAGGAGGTATACAGGACGGATGAACAGAGTTGAATCATCCAGTGAGACCTGTGCTTTGGGAGATTGCATAAACTTAGTCTCCTGATGCCACACCAAGCAGAGATAATCCAACTGAGTGAACTCAGAAGGGGGCTATACCAATGTTCTGTTCATTGTAACATCCAAGACTTCTCTTAGCAAAGATACTGAACATCTCAAACTTGGCAGGGTCATTCTGAATACATTGGGAGAAACCTAGTAGGAAACCAGTCCATTTATATTATCTTTGGTTACAGCTCACTTTTCACACTTAATGGGTAACTCCTAATTTTCTTTGAGGTGGTGTGGTAGTCAGTCCAGTTAGATTTATAAACATGACTCTAGTATCTACTCTGAATTTCAGGGGAAATTCCCTGAGAAACCAGAAAATTCATTTTAGACATCTATCCAAATATACTTCAAATAAAAAGCACGATAAATTGATTGATTTATTTTCCTGATTGTCTAAAAGAAGGTTCTAAAGGCCACCACAAGTGGGACAGGATAGTTATATGTCTTGATTATTATCTGGTACTGGCTGTAAGTCTTTGACGTGCTGGATTTTTATAGTATCTGACTTAAAAAAATAGCACTTAAGTTTTTTACCACCTTATCTGAGAAATTAAATTGCATTTTTAAAATTTCCCTAGAAATCCAAAGCTCTTAGAAAGCCTGACACAATGGTTAGCATTCTTTTTCTTTAGCAATATTCTAAGATACAACTTCATAGCTCCAGACAGACCTCCATAAGAGATAACATGCTGTGGATTGGCAATACCTTAGCATGACTGGAACCATAGACAGCTTTGCTCTTGTCTGTTTTGTGTTTATCTGTTAAAATCATAACTACGTGAAGTCTGTGTGGCTTAATTAATAACTTTACAATTGTTGGTTCTTTTCTAGATTGTCAGTGGCATAATTCATCATACCCAGACCCCTAAACTACTTAAACGATTATTTCTGTTTTCCTATGCAGCTGCTGCACAAAACAGTACAGGTCAGTGTCTCTGAGTTTTAATTTTTTTTTTATTTTATTGTGGTGAAAATATATATAACAAAACATTTGCTAATTCAACAATTTTCCCATGTACAATTTAGTGATAGTGATTATGTTCATCCATGTTGTACAACCATCACCAATATCCATTTTCAAATTATTCCACCACCAGTTACAGAAACTCAGTGCTGCCCTAAGTAGTGATTCCCTCTTTCCCCTTGCCTCCCACCTGTGGTAATAACTGACACTTTGGCCTCCATACATTTGCCTATTCTAGACACTTCATGAAAGTGGGATCCTATAATATTTATTCTTTTGTGACTCTGTTAGTTCACTCAGCATGTTTTCAAGGTCTGTCCATGTTGGAGCATGTATCAGGACTTGATTTCTCTTCCTGGCTGAGTAGTAGTCCAGTAGTCCCTTGTATACATATACTACATTGTGTTTTCCCATTCATCCCTTGATAAACACATAGATTGTTTCCACCTTGTCTTCTAGGAGTTAACTCATGGGTAGGCAGGGCCCTTCCCATTCCTCCCTGAAGTTAGTGGGAGAAAACCCATTCATGCGTTTCTCATTTTGTTTTTCTTCTCTCTAGCAGTTGGTCACTCTTGCTTGGATGATTCACACAAAAGGTTTCTGGGGTTTTTTGCTGTGATCCTTGTTTTAATCCTGTCTTTTAGGTTTGTTAGTTTTTTATGAGGGGTTGTTTGTATATTTGCTTCTTATGAAAGATAAAATCAATGTGTAACTAGGAATGTGAGACTATAGCATAACAAAATTGAGACAAGTTTAAAGTAAAGTTTGAAACAAGTTTAAAATAGCCTTGTTTGTACCTGAGTTCCTTTTACTACTTAAAAATACTTGATTTCATTTGTTAAGATTCCAGAGTATGTCTTACATTCCAGAAAGTCTTTAAACAGCCAACTGAAAACTAAACCCACTGCCATCAAGTCAGTTCTGACTCATAGCAACCCTACAGGATAGAGTAGAACTGCCCCATAGGGTTTCCAAGGCTGCAAATCTTTATGGAAGCCTCTTCTTTCTTCCACAGACTGGCTGATGAGTTCAAACCGCTGACCATTTGGTTAGCAGCCAAGTGTTTTAACTGTTACTGTACCAAAACTCCTTTTTAAACACCAAGAGCACACTTAAAGCTAGTTTAGTAAGGAAAAACTTAACTTTCCAAGTATTTCTCAGTTTACTAAAAAAGGGAGAAATCTTTTAAGTAAGAAATCTTGGTTATCTGACTTGTTGTTGTTAGGTGCCGTCGAGTCGTTTCCGACTCATAGCGACCCCATGCACAGCAGAATGAAACACTGCCCGATCCC